TATATATCTCATGGTTGACCCAAAAGAGTGATGCCAGTAATAAACTACACTGCCCTGCTACATTCAGAAAAGACTATTCAAAGATGCAGTTGTGTGCCATGAATACAAAAGCAGACTTGTTGTCCTGCTTCAGCTCTGTCTGTGATCTCCAGAGTCTCTCTTTATGGTTCATTGTGATTTATGCAAAGTTTTTCAGCAAAGCATTTTTTTAAATTCTATGTAAAGCCACATTTTTGTCGTAGAGTATGGAAGGGTTAGGTTTTTATTGTTGTCAATGTCCTAACTAGGGAGATTCCCCCTCTCTATTTGTTATGGGATTGTGCTATGTCTCCAAAAAAAGAACTGAACATAGATCTCCCAATGGTAGAAAGAACAACCATCCCCTACTTTATCAATGTTGCTGCTGTTATAGGAGCTAAAGATATTTACATAGTTACATAGTTAGTCTGGCTGAAAAAAGACAAAAGTCCAGTTCAACCAAAAAAAAAAAAGTTATAATCCTATACCCACCATTGATCCAGAGGAAGGCAAAAAAATCCCCAGCAAAAGCATGCTCCTGCAGGGGAAAAAATTCTTCCTGATCCTATTTAATATAGTTATAAACATGTCTGGAAATGTTCTTATTTATCCAGGTCATGTTAGTGTAGTGGTTAGTCACATTCAATTGGACTTGATCTATATGTTGCAGATGTTTTGCAGCACGTCCAAGATGCGTTTTTCAGTTCCAATGAGTGTCAGGAACATACCTCAGCATATATACCTGTAGCACTACCCCCTAAGGAGCCACTGGAGTTGGGTCCCCCTATTTACTGCACAGCCAGGAAACATGCATTTTCAGCAAACACACATAGTCAAGAATCCAGTCAATGGGCTTGTTTTTGTTGTTTTATTTAGTGGAAAACAACTTGCATAGGGAGTAGGGGTTATGGGATGCCCAACTTCACAAAAAAAAGAACAGTTTGAGGAGAAACTTCCTGCGCTTTTGTGCATGAAAAATGGATCCTGGATGTTACTCCAGCTAGCGTGGTATCAGTCCCTTTAAGGACCAGTAGCAATGTTACTTTAAGGATCACTAGGTCCCCTTGTGTGAACTTTCACAAAGTCCCAATACTTGGCGAGCAAATACCAGTCCACCTGGTAGTGTCCCAGAGTAAGGAATTAGGTTAGCTGTGACCCTATCCCCATGAAATCATGCTGGATATTGCATCTGGCAGCCTTCTCCTTTATAGGCCCTGGGGGTGTAGAGGTACTCAATCTGTCCCTTGTATCCTGCTGCTTTGGACAATACTGCTTGTTCAGGTCTTTTAGCTGTGCTAGTCTTCCCATGCTGGGCAGGGTGCCTCCTGGATAGGGCTTGTAGTGAAGTTCCCTCTTTCTAGCTTCTTCTCTTTCCTTCCTTCCTCGTCAGCTCCAGCCTGGATGCAGAGCCCCCCTTCCCTGGTGTCTCCTCCAAGGCCTCGTGGTCTTCAGCACTCCATCTACCACCTGATCACCAGACTCCCCTGGCTATGCTCTTTCATATTTATAGGCCCATCTCACCACACTGCCAGGCTTCCTGCTTGTGATTGGTCATACAGGTACATAAGTATGCAGATTACAGCCTATTGGCCTCCACCCACTAGCTTCTAGAATCTTCTGGAAGACTACTCTAGAACCAGGGGGAGGTACCAGAGGCCTAACCTGTAGAGCCCTCCAGCCTGACCTAAAGTAAAAACTAAAACAATTCCCCAAGCTCACCACACTACTATGAGCCATTCATTTTCCTCATTCTAATTGCACACTAGAGGATGCTACATGTCCACATGGCTTGTTTAACCACCTTAATCCAATCACCATAAAATTTGACAATGCAGATGTTGATTGTCCAAGTACAGGATGTGAGGTGTGAAAGTTATGGAATCATTCCTGTTCTAACTGCATATTCCCAACCCTTGGTGTGAAAAGGCAGCAGTAGGGGTTTTGCATGGCTGAAGGTGATATATTGTCAAATTTCCAGGACAGAGATGTTAAAATAGCATTAAATGATGTTGTCAGATAGGGGTTGATTTATTTAAAACTGGAAAGTTCAAAATCTTGTGCAGCTGTGCATAGAAACCAATCAGCTTCTAACTTCTGCTTGTTCAGTTAAGCTTTGACAAAAAAAAACCTGGAAACTGATTGGTTTCTATGCAGAACTGCACCATATTTTGCACTCTCCAGTTTTAGTAAATTAGCCCCATAATCAAAGGTCATCACCCCCTTTATTAGGAACGGTTGCTCCAGTTTTACATAGTTGACCTCTTTCACTCCTATTGTGAATCAGTGATCCTATGTGGACAAAATGTACACTTAACTCCCCACAAAAGAATGTCCCTTTATCTTAAGGTGTAGAAAAATTGCTGGGGAGAGAATTAGAGGCAAAAGAGACAGTTCTATGATGTCATCATCCCTTTTCACTTGTATACTAACAGCAGAAGACATTGAGGCGGTAAGGGAAATATCTGAAATTACAGCAAAACAGAACCCAAGACAGACCATGTTCCTTCCTAGACTTCAATAATATCTGCTTCAATCATAAGGATAACTTTAACAGAAAGAAACATGTCTCTGCATATCACCAATATTATTATTACTATTATACAGTATTTATATAGCGCCAACAGTTTACTTATATAGCGCTGTACATTACAATGGGGGACAATACATGAGACAGTACAATAACAATACAGTCCGATACACGAGGGGTTCGAGGGTCCTGCTCCTTGGAGCTTAAAATCTAGGAGGGAGGGGATAGTGGTACGGGAGGAAAAGCTGTGGGGGATGGATATTACAGAACAAGCCAAGTTAAATGTGATTAACCACTACTGCTTATAAATGCGATAATAATTTTTTGTCCAATTAATGATCTGTTATTACAGTATATTTCAGAAAAGCTTTATTTGCAGAATAAAGAGACAATTTTGTTTTGCTTCTTTGATTAAACACAATATACAGTTATGCTATGTGAATGAGAACATGTAATATATTTAAAGTAGTGTGTTATCCCAATTTGGCCATAAAAGTGGGAATACACTTTAAGGCTGGATTTATACTTCCTGCTCATTAGGCTAACTGACTTTTGCTGTCCTCCTCCAGTTGACGCTCCAACCTCAGAATCACAAGGTGAAATAACATGGCCACACAAGGCACACCAAGGTTGGAGTGTGGAGATGGTTAGGCCATTTAGTCAGCATACCTTGAACCGACATGTACAACATAAAAGGGAAGCACAGTGGCTAAATGGTCAGCACTTCTGCCTGGCAGTACTAGGGTCATTGGTTCAAATCCCAACCACAGCACCACCTGCCTTCAGTTTGCATGTTCTGCCTGTATGGGTTTCCTCCAACACTCCAAAGACATGCTGGTAGATAAAAAAAATGAAAAAACACACAACAATATATATACAAATATGGTGCTAACAATATAATATGTGCAAAGGAAAAAAAACAAAAACTGTGCTATACCAGATGTCTTACCAATACATACGTATAGGACCCCATAAACTGCACATAACTAGTGCTATAAACAAATAGTGCACACAAATAAATGTCCTTAATATTGAACTGTCCCTTTAAACCTTGAATATCAGCACGTGGACTTGTGTGGTATATATCTTATAAATCGTGATCCAAATACACCGACTATGTGGGGGTTATTTACTAAAACTGGAGAGTGCAAAATCTGGTGCATCTCTGCACAGAAACCAATCAGCTTCCAGGTTTTATTGCCAAAGCTTAATTGAGCAAACTGAAGTTAGAAGCTGATTGGCTACCATGTACAACTGCATCAGATTCTGAATGCACCAGTTTTAGTAAATCTTCACCTAAGTGTCATCTGAATATGGTCTAAAAAAAAATGGCGAACCATCCCTTTAAATCCGCTGTACTTCAAATAGACGAGTGTAACACACTACTGTATGAACGTGTATGGTGCTCCCATGTCACCCCTTAGTGCTCTTCCAACACACTCTATTACGCTCACCTCCAAGTTTGACCCGTAATGACAGATAAAACTGTGTTTTTTCCCCATTAACCCGGAAGGTATACTGGTACACAGATCTTCACCACCATTAGCCAGCACTTTTTTATACATCTCCAGATCGCTCCACATCCATGTGAAAAGAATGCTCAATATAGTGCAGCATTGCCACTCAAAACATCCCTTATTTAAAACAATCTAGTAAAACGCACATTAAAATGTGTCCTGGTAAACACCAGGGATAAAAATTCACTATACAGTGTTTGCTGTAAGAGTGTGCAGAAATCCTTTTTCCAAAATGGCGCCACGTGCACTTCCGGTTTGCGGCCTGATGTCATCAGCGTACCCTATGCGTTACGTCACATCACGTGATTTCATCAGGAGTAAATTTCTCTAACGAAAAACCCAACAGACAGAAATTCTGTGAAAAGCACTATTAGATATGCATTTATTTAGAAATAAATTACTGGAAACTAGCAAGTATGACAACCAAATTTATCAGAAACCATTTACCAGTAGTTTCTTTTTGAAGAAACTGGAGTATACCTATGGAAACATGGAAAGAAAATGCAAAACGAGGAACAGCAGGACCAAAACACTGTAAGACAGTACTATTTACTTATGGTGTTTTTATGCTGATGCATATGCAGAAATGCTTGTTTTTGACACTGAATACAATTATGCGCATTTTATATGTGCTTTTATGTGCTTCTTTATTCATGCACCATACTCTATATTTTAAAGATACACTTAGTTGCAGTGCATAGATGTAAACTAGCCACATAAAAATAATTGGAATTTGTATCTGAAATGCAGAAAAGTATGCATTTTAATGCACGTAAATGGGCAAGGGTGAAGGGGACTTCACCATTATGCTAGTCATTGAATTTCTAAGATCTACTAACTTGGAATTTTTTGCCATTTTGAACTATAACGATATTATTATTATTATTTTCAGATACATTACAAAGTCAGATCGAAGAGAGACTTTTCCGTAAGCTTTCTCGCATTACAATCAGCACATAAGACCAGTAGAAAATGTGTCTGATCCTGTCATGGTACATTTTGAGGTTGCAATAACTCAACTTGTTAATGTGGTAAGTCGAACCTTTTTGTACAATATTTTCAAATATCACGTCAAGATAATGGTCACAGTTACACACTTAAAGCAGGTAGTAAACCCCAAAGCAAATATTGAATAGATCGCTGCTTATCAGTTTTTTTATGTGGTGCCTGCATTTGTTAACTTTTTTAGGTCTTTTTTTCCCTTTATTTTCTTATTTTATTTTTAGAGAATAGTGAATTAGTGTCATTCCGCTCTGGGCTTGCTTGCTACTTACTTCTGGTGAGTGCATTATGGTGGAGGTGCAGAGCGGAAGACACAGAAGTCACTACATTTTGTTGATTTGGTCGCATCACTGTTATGGGACTATTATGATATTTAGAGGACTTATATATTTAAGTGTTCTTTCATGGCAAGACCACTTACTGTTATCTCACATATATATTCTTATTATTATAGCCAAATTTACCACCCTAACTCCTCCCACAGTTTTTACACTACATAGACAGTAATATACCGAAACGTGCAGATTGTCGCCGAATGGTTCACGAAATATCGGCGTTTTTGTGGTGAAATTGGTCCCATAGGAATGAATGGCGGAATGTTTAAAACTAGTGTGGGAGCTGACAAAAGCTAGAGTGTGAGCTGAAAAATCAGGAATATGATTTCTAAACTGCCATCACTCCCTTATTTTCAAGCCCACCTACACAAATCTTATATCAAAACGTTCAGCTATCCCTGCTGCCACTAAAAATGTCCACGGCTAAGCCATAGTCCTGATATTTTTCACAATATGACCATTTGTTTGCAACTCACGCCGCCCATTGACATTCATTGAAACTCCACTCTAGTCACCTCAAATTTGAAGGGCAATTTCTAAACTGCGACTGTGCCTTCATTTTTTCAGAGACATACTATGCATCAAAATGTAGGTCTGGGTCTTGTGATCTCACAATATAAAGCTCTTCAGTGTTTTTAAACTACAACCGTTTGAAAATGGCAACCGCCAGTGAAATGAGCAAGTTGGAGCAGTTTGTTTTTAACCGCTCTTCTCTGCCCTTGCTGTAGAGTGAGTTGCCATAGGAACCCAGGTGTGTGAGCAGGCAGCAGAGTGACAAAAGCTAGAATGTGAGTTGTAGACTACTGGTGGAGGCAAGAACACTTCACACAATTTCCCCAGAAATTGTAGCTTTTCTAGTTTCATTTGTTATTTGTTATACTGTCCATTTTGTTTCTTCATTGGAGTATTCACTATTCTCTATTTCTTTTTTATGATGTTTCCTTTCTCTTTTACTATTACACTGGTCATCATTGATTATAACACACATTTTGTATTAGCGCTGCACATTGATATTGTAGGATTAAAGATCACTGAACACTCAGTTCTCAGTCTTTAGTGAGTAGAGAGCCTTTGACTGTCAGTCGCCGCTCTCTGCTATGTCCCTACAGCGCTCACTGGTGTGCTGAGCCATGGAGGGTGCAGGAGAGCAGCTGACTCAGGCTCTCCGTGGCGTACTGGGAGGCTGAGCCAGACACTGGTCCAGTTATCTGGGTGGATCTCGACTGTAAAGGATCGATCCAGAGTCTGGATTGGCTGAGTGGTGTCAGCTGACAGTTGGCTTTAGCCCTTTGTTGACTGAAATCGGTCACAGGAGTGCAGAAAGAAGTGCTCTCCCATGATCCATAGGAGAAATATAACCAAAATAGCTTTGGCCATACTTCTCCTATAAGTTGGATTGGATTCACTCTGAAAGGAGGAGCAAAAGAGGTACCTTTGGACAGCAGTGTCAGTCTCAGGAGATGGGAGTATTAGATGCACTAGCAGATGTAGGTGGACTTGACAAACAAACTAAAGCCAAACTCCAGCTCACACTTTTTAAGCAGTTACAGCAACAGTTGTCATCCTTTTGGGATAAAGTTTTACATAAAAGCTGACCATTGTAAGCACTTATGTCAATGGTAAATGGTTTGTCTCAGCCTTCTAGCTGCCACTTTTCCTGAACAGCTTTGTAATAGTGCTGCAACATGAAAATTTGTATTTCTTCTCCTGTACCTGCCAGGTGTTCAACCATTTCCAAGATGTGGCTTATGTAATCTTGCGTATCCTGGCCTTTCATCAGCTTTGGTTTGGTATAGCTTTCTAATCAAATACAGTTTATTGCTGAGATTAGTTATTTTATGCACCTTTTGTAATCCTTCCCACATTTCTTTAGCAGTTTTAAACTTACATATACAGTATGAATGATTTGATCATCTTCTAGGCTAAAAGAGATTGTACTCTGAGCTTTCTGATCTTTCTCTAGCCACTCATCTTAAGGGTGTTCTGGTCTGACAACATTTATACATTTTCACGTACCTTCTCTTATTAGCAGCATTTCCAATTTTCCATTTCTTGAATTTCCAAGGCTGGTAGTTCTGGTTTGTCAGGTTTACAAATGAAAGCTCTGTTGAGACTGTATTACTGGCAATTTTCTTTTATTTTGTTGCAGTCTTCTTTCTGTTACTGTATCTTGCACTTATTTGCTGTATCAGGCTTTGCCTGGGAAACTGGGCCCATAACCTATTAGAAATGTTGTATCCCAAGGGATACAGAATTTTTAATAAAAACACCTACAAAATGCTTGTGACCTGGGAAAAAGGTTTTGAAAAAAAGTGTCAATCCCTTGTTAAAGCTTTTTTAAAAAAAAATTAGTTCCTGCTTAGGTTATTATTTATTTATTATTTTGCAGATTTGTTTTTTTAACTGCTAGTATGCACTTTTTTTTACCTTTTGTCCTATTTTCTTTTTTGTAGCAATGCATTAAGAAATGCTATGTACAAGAAACATAATTCTAGTGCCGTTATAACAGCCTTATAATAAAATATTCTCTTTTGATGAATTATATACTACTTTAGCGCCCAGAAGGAAGAACACATTTGGTCACAATAATAATCAGTTTTAACATTCTGCTTATTACTAAGTCACACTTGGTTAATCACAATAAAACACTTCCCCTCCTTCCATTCAGTTGTCCTTAAACCAAAAAGCAGTAAGCCTAGGTTTAATGGACAGCGGCTGTCATTTCTGTAATGAACTGGCTCGACCGTTAAATGTGAGGACATGCAAGCTTCATCCATATTTACCTGAGAAGGGCACTTTTGCATTTTCACCTTTGGTGCCAGAAGACCATGTCCCCACACTACATATACAGTATGTACAGTATCTCCTCATGCTAAAGAGAACTGTCCTTTCTCATCTATTCACATATGTAGTCTTTGCACTTCAAAGCTGTATTAAACCCCAAACCAAAAATGTATTATAATGCAGCTTCCCAATCATTTGATAAGATGGCTGCATTAGTTTTCTTTTTCTTGTTTCCCCTCTGTTTGCACCTGGTGATCTGGCCAGTAATACACCTCCCGTATTAGTGAGACACCACTCTGGAGGAATGAGCACAGGAGGAAAAGCAGACAGCAGCATTGTCAATCCGGGGGGATGGGAGTGTTAAATGTGTTAGCAGATTTGAATACAATAACAAATTGAAGCCACATTCTAGCTCACACTTTATAAATCAGTTACAGCAAACATTTTTTTTCCTTTAAGGATAAAGGTTTTACAGGAATAAATAATAGTTGATCATTTTAATCACCCCTGTCAGTGGTAAATGGGTTATCTCATCCAGTGGCGTCCCGAGGCAGGTGCGGGGGGTGCGGTCTGCACCGGGTGACACCGACCGCACGGGGTGACACTTGATATGCTCCACAAAAAGGTAAGTTTTAAAGCAAGCCGACGATCCCTGCAGGATGGATCCGATCCATCCTGCGGGATCGTCGGCATGCAACCTATACGGGGTGACACCGGACCCGCTCCAAGAAAAGGTAAGTTGTAAAGAAAGCTGACAATTCGCGCAGGATGGATCGGATCTGCGGACTGAGCATAATGGATTGAAGTCCAACCCATTATGCTCAATCCGCAGATCTGATCCATTCTGCAGGGCTCGTCAGAGGGGGTGTCACCAAGTGTTACCGCACCGGGTGATACCAACCCTAGGATCGCCTTTGATCTCATCCATGTAAACTGATACATGCTGCTGTAGAGCTTGTATTTTTGAAAAACAACAGACTTGCTGGCTGAATCACCAGATGAAAATAAAAGAAAGAAAGCATAAAAATTAAAACAAATACAGCCATCTCATCTAAGAATTAGCAACTATAATAATAATAATATATAATAAATGCTTGCTTTTGGGTTTAATACTGCTTTAGGTGGCCCCAGCCAGATGACCAGATCTGCACAAAAGCTAAGACCAAATGGTAACTTCATTTCATGCACCATAGTGTAACTACTTGCTGAGACAACTCTTCTGAGCAATCACGGTCACATTATAACATGCATATTCCTGTCACAAACCATGGCCCTATCTCTAATATGCTGCTATACCCAATGTGAATAAATAACTCAGAACATACTTGTATGATTCACTTTTCAGTTATTTTTATACTTTTTTTCAGCAAACAAATAAATCTAGGCAAATCTATTTGGCAACACAATACTTATAGACCAAAATTGTGTATATATAGTGTGTCCAGTTTTAATCACTTGCCCTCCTGAGGATTTACTTCCCTTCCTGACCAGGCCATTTTTTACGTTACTTTAATATACAATTGCGCAGTCATGCAACGTTGCACCCAAATTAAATTTACATCCTTTTTTCCCCACAAATTGAGCTTTCTTTTGGTGGTATTTGATCACCTGTGCTTTTTTTATTCTACATGAAAGTTATAGCGTTTACAAATGGCGGTATATATACTGTAATTTTTTCTCAACTAGTAATGGCCGCGATCAGTGACTTATAGCGGAACTGCTGCGGGCATTCTAACACTGTGGGGGAACTGACTTGGTGTCACTGACATCCCCAGTGACACCAATACAGTGATCAGTGCTAAAAAAAAAAGAAATTACACTAATGACACTGGGCAGGAAGGGGTGAACATCTGGGACGATCAAAGGGTTAACTGTGTGCTGGGAGTGTTTTACTGGGGGCTGGTGTGTTG